CCTGCCGCTAGCCGAGTGCTGCTGCGAGCGCGCGTGGCGGGGATGGCTCCGTGTCATAGAGGTTTCCTGTTAATGATAAGCTATAAAATGCAATTCGAACGATGCACTGTATTACAGCGCCGCGTCCCGCCAGCGCCACCACCAGGAGCCTCTGACACGGAGAAAGCCATGAAGTGGACAATCAAAGAATTGGCGGTTAGGGTGGAAAGTAAATGTTTTCGCAACGCTCATCTACAGCCTGGCTTTGGAAACATGCTATTTTATTTATTTGTTATTAAAATAAATTGTCTTTATTTCCCCTGCCTTATACTACACCAAATAACTCTATCATCCGTCATCTCAGTCATCACTCCCTTGACAGGATCAATGTCACACTTCACGCAATCCATCCATCTCTTTCTAGCTCTACCTCTACCGGTGTACCCCTCCACATTCATAACTAATGTCCGTCTTGTTACATGCGATTCATCCCTTCTCATATCATGCCCATACCACTCTAACCTTTTACTCCTTATTTTCTCAACCACTGGGGCTACTCTCAAACTTCCTCTAATATACTCATTCGTGTTACCCCATACCACACATCCATCTTAACATTCGCATTTCTGCGACATGTATTCGCCTTTCATCGTCATAGTATAATATATCTTACATGCTTTGTATAAAAGACTAGCTGTTGCCCATGACTTCATCCGTGTAGAGTTTTAAAATGCAAAACTTACGTTCGCCCCTTTTTTCAACCTATCACCTAAACTTAGTATTAATCTACGTAATAACAGAAATATACTGATGCTAGATTCCAAATCTCTAAACGTGGTAGCTTGTGAGCTGATTTTTCGGTTACCCTTGCCAAATGCCATCGTGGACTTTTCTGTAGAACTTTTGAGATCTACAATTCTTTCATACATCATTTTTATATACGAGTATGTATCTCTAACGGGCAGCATAAGCCGAGAAAAGTTAAAACATTGTGATTTTTTTACGCCGTGGTCCAAAAATATGTTGTTCATTAATAGTTAGTATAGACATAGATAAATGAAACATACTATATTAAAAATACAGCACCACCGGCTGCGGAATCCGATAACTCAAGCAACCAGTGGTCAGGGCTGCAGAGACAGGAATCTCCTCACAATACGTGCGGTTTCTAAAATACCTGTCCTTTGAATCGGGCCCTTAATTCAACTGTCTAGCGAGAGCTTCTTGAGATATTGGTAGAAGCTTTTCGCTATTAGCCCGTGCACCGCAACGACTATCGGAATAACGTTAGTCGATTTTATACGCGACAGGGCGGTAACCTCGTGAGCCAGATCTAAAATTCATTATTATTAATATTAGTAAGATTTAGAAGTAAATTATTCTTAACTTTACATGAATCGCCTATTTCTCTCCAAACAACGCAAGGATTGATTTCTGGCAGCTCTAGGTCACTGTTAGAAAGGGACAGGCTTGTAGCCCTCTAACTCGGCTTCAATTTTATTTTGCGTGCAACAAGACTCTTATGCCCTTAGCATAAGTTTTCATTTTCTTTATTTTACAGAACTAGAAAAACTAGAACTCATTCCTCTTGTACGAAGAACGCATTACTTCCATGATTGACACCAACCATGGATGTACTACTAGGATATGGATGGATATGGATGATTGCGCTCTTGTCGCAAAATTGAAGCTGAGCGAGACCTCATTAACTATTTCTTTTATCCCTCTCTGGCGATGGTGACTATGGCGTAAGTATTTAAATTATCTGTTCTTAAACCTAGGAAACTAGGATTGAATAGTTATGTATGGTCACCGTGATTCTTCACCAACAAATTATGTTTAAAACTATTACCTATGAAAATAAAACGCGCAGTCAGCATAACACTCCCTTCGGCAAGCCTCCACGACACAAATTCTTCCCATTTTAACTAAGATTCTTCAAAAATATGACGAAATCAAAAAAGACTCCGCCATTAACGTCCAAGTCGGGATGTCACGTTGGGTTGTCAGTTTAGGTGTCAAAATTTCACACAAATATAAGAAAACATATACGCCAATCGCAAATTTTTTGTGTTATTAATGTTTTGCACGTAGCAACAAATAATATTGCTTTAACATGTCGGTAGTAAATTATTATTCATATTTAGAAACATTTTAAAAGTAAAAGCTTTTACTTCGTTAAATTACATCGCCTATTTTGCTACAAACAACGAAAGGATGTATATCTGGCAACTCTAGGTCACTGTTAGAAAGGGACAAAGCGGACACTTATAGCCCTCTCATTCGGCTTCTATTTTATTTTGCATGGAAAAAGATTCTTACGTTCTTATCATAAGGTTTTTTTTTCTTCATTTTAACTGCAAGATGTACAGATAGAACTCATTCCTGTTGTAGGTAGAGATATTACTTCCATGACACTAACACATAAAATTCAACAAAAACGGTATGGTAGTCGAAAGATATGTGAGCTAACAATTTCGTTTTAATTTTTTTCTCATCTTGGCTGATCTTGGCTTTCATATAAATATTATCTTGACATCATTTTTGACCAACGAGGGAGCAGCGTCCAAAGATGATGAGTGAGTGCTGCCATTTCATAATTGCAAACCATGAAAAATATTACGGGTTATGATAAAACGTGTAGATTTCTTTGCTAATATTACGGCCGCCGTGGGTATGATTTAGATGATTAACATGTGACTACTTGTTTTTAAGCTGGACAAAATATAGAGTTTACCTGGAAATTTTCTGAAAAATACTTATGTGCATTTATCAAATTAAATAGTAAGTAAGTACTACGAGTGCTTAGGGTTTAATTTAAAAATCATTTGCTTTCAGTTTATATTTTTTATTATACGTCGGACTATTTCGGAAAAAGTTGGGATATTTTTGCTTATTGGTAACCCTGAAAACTCGAAGACACCGTACTGTCAAACACTACCATAAATTCCTTGTCGAACTGTGTCGAACTATATTTTCTGACTGCCACAAACTACAACACAATATAACAAGATTAGTGTGTTTTACAGTTTTATATTTCTGTATATATTACACTACATTTTGGTGTATGTTCGTTCTGTGTGGTTCTGTGATTATAGCTTTGTGTATAGTGTTTGTGTTGTAGTAAGCGTTCTTAAAAATAAGTATATCGTTAAGCGTGTTGTTACTTCTAAGATTTAACATATTTGTGGCATCATTTTATGAGATTCTTACAGAATGATACATGGTTTTATGAAGTAGGTAAACAATAGATAAAATGGCGCAGCGTTTTCCTTCGGGGGGAGCAAGCTCAGGCCCGCCGCCGCCGGGCTCCATACAGCCCCAGCAACGCTACCCTGGCCCAGCACAACCCCCGGGATCTCCAATGCAACAGAGACCTTACTCTGGACCTAATTTCCCGGTAGGGTTTTGAATAATATATATGTCGACCATAAAACCCTTCTAATTTCATGAATGCATGCTGTTTGAATATATTATGAGCACAGCCTTTTTTATTTACAAAACACTTTATAACTGAACAAATTGTGGCTGTAATCAATTCTGTCTTCATCCTGGCTGAAGACAATGAACATATTTTTACCACCCTGTCCCCCTTGGCAATAGCTGTAGGGTCTAATGTAATACATTTTTTAGCTCACAATGTGTCTAACACTCATCCATTCAACAAAATCATTTATCTAAACTTTTGCATTCATAATATTACTAGTTGTTTCTGTGCAACTTCATCTGATTGATTCGAAAAACATTATTTATTTACATTTGCTAACTTTTAATTTTAAATACTTAAATGGCAACAAAGGCTTTTGACATTGGCAAGCAATATCATTAGCATGACAATCTTGTTTCTCTGCTGGAATCGGCTTATACATTTTGTGGTGGGTTTTGGCGTCCAACACAAGAGAACGCTAGCACTGCCTGTCCTGCGCCATTACCTGCCATTTGAATGCTCGGAGATGGTCTCCTTGCTTTCTAAAACAGAGTGATTCCTAACAGACAAATCAATGGTTTTATGAAGTTAGAGGCCATCAATGGCTATGCTATTGTTTAAGCGCAAAGTATGTTGCCTGATTTTTTATAGTCTTAAAGTTATTAAATTTTTTGTAAAAGAATCTAAAAAATTGGATTTCCAAGATAACATGTTTACAGTGGTCATTTTTTTCTTCTTTAACAAGCCCAAAAATTGGGCTTTTGAACCATTATCGTAAAAAAGTACAATTTGAAATAGTCGAGGGTGACAATCTATTGTAACTTTCATACAAACATATGAAAAATATTTTTTTCTAAAAAGTCTAAAAAGCTGAATGTTTTACTTTTTTCATTAAAACATTACGTTTCACACAAAATTGCGGGTAGTTTAATATTTCATTTTACAAAAAGTGCAGATAATATCTTCCATCATACCTAGTGTAGGTTTATATTTTTATTTATGTAAAAAGGAATGTTTTCATGAAAAAAAGTTTAAACCTTTCCCTAAGTTAAAAAAACGATATTTTGTTTTAAGAAAGTTTACTACTTTAATAATTTTCCTTTTATTTTGTTCTCATATGAGTTACTCCAAAAAAAAAGTATAACAGTACGAAAGCCCAATCATTAGGCTTGTTAAAGAAAAAAAAATGATTTTCCAAAAAATTAAATAGGTTTAAAACTATAGAAAATCCTGCAACATACTTTGCGCTTAAACGATAGCTTATAGGTCCTATACCTCCACATAACCATTGAGAATTGCCTAGGTAGGGCGTGTACATCGCACAGCAAT